ACCACTCATCAGGCTCTCTGCTGTCAGCGCAGAGCCCCCTTTGGATCCTCTGGCCCTTCTCTCCCCCACTCACACTTTCTCTCCCTTTCGCTCAAAAATAAACATTTAAAGAATAGAAAGCAATACTAGATCTCCTGGACTAGTCCTCTAATTTTCAAAAATCTTTTTTCTACTGGTTTCTCTTTTTGCTCCATCTTCTATGTGATTCCACGACCTTTACTTCCCAACCCTTCTAGAGTTTTCCATTTCTATCACATTTTTCAATTTCTAAGAGCTCGATTTTGTTCTTTCAACAGCATCCCATTCTTGTTCCATGGTTGCAATATCATTTCTTTTTTCTCCTTGGATCATCTTAATGATAGGCTGTTGCATCAGTATTGACTGCCCTTTCTTCCTACATAGTCTCAAGTTCCTCTAAGTTGCTTTTTCTATGTGTTCATTTTGGTGTCTACCTTTCGTGGTAAAGACTTTCCTCAGACATCTAGAAATCATTGGCCACCTTATCCCCATAAGACTGAAAAGCTGAACGAAAGCTCTGAATGCAAGGGTGTAGCTTAACAGTGAACTTCAGCGCAGGACAATCTACTTGGATGGCCTGGTGTGCAAATCTGGCTTTCAGTGCCTTTAAATCCTTCCTTGCAGGCTGGTCAGGTTCTACAGAGAGCTGTCAATCTCCTACCTGCGAGGTGAAGCTCCAACTGCCCAAATTTCCGGAATGGGCAGAAGGAAAGCAAGGTCTCATCTCCAGTGTGCACATGGTCACAGAACCCCCTTGCTTTTTTTTTTAATTCTTTTATATTTGAGAGAAAGAGAGTGGGTGTGTGTGAGGAGAGGGGGGCAGGAGAGAGAGAGAGAGAGAGAGAGAGAGAGAGAGAGAGAGAGAGAATCTTAAGTAGGCTCTATGCTCGGCCAGACACAGAGCTCGATCCCATGACTCTGGTATCATGACCTGAGCCAAAATCAAGAGTCAGACGCTCAGCCGACTGAGCCACCCAGGTGCCTCCGTTTGCTTTGAGGACAATGCTCTTGCCTCTTCTCTGTCCAGCATGCCCCAAACCACAGATCCTCCATTTTACTTCCTCCAGACTCCCAGTCTTTTGTGCAAGGTGGGAAAAAGGTTCTTGACACCCAACTATTAACTTTCCAAACCTTATTTTAGCCCCCTTCTTCTCCTCTACTTCCATATGAAGGTGATGCTTCCGATCTCTGGCCTTTTGCAGACTTACTGCAGAGTAAATCAAGGGGGCGCTCAGCTTTCCTCACTACCAGTTTATATTTCCATATTCTTGAATCTGCTAAGCCATCTACCATCTGTCCTTATGCTTCTCAGCTCCCGAAGTGTTGTTGCTATTGAGTCCTTCTGTTTTGCTTGACTTCGTGGGTTTATGTCTTTTTTATTTAATCCCTTTAAATGTCACGCTAATGGAGTTTTGATAGAGATCCAAGATAAATGTATGTGTTCCATCTGTCAGTTTTACTCCAGAATCACATCTCCCAGGAATTTCAAATTTCAACCGAGACGGTAGAGATTGGGATTTTCAGGAGCTTTAGCCTATTAATTCTGTTATTTTTATACGACATTTGATTCTGTTAACAGCTTCTTCCCAAAAGCTCCACCCCCGTGGCATATCAAGACCCAAGCAATTAGGGCAGTGGGCACCAGAGGCAGTCAAGGAGCCTCTAAATAATTTAAAACAACACAAGGGACTAAAAGTCCGCTTTTTATTACCAACATGTGCCAGGAACAAAACAAGATCAGTGATGAAAACACTCTTTTCTGAAAAATCTTTTGTTGCCCTAAGTTCTAAACAATGTCTGCAGTTACTGTTGACTTTTTTTTTTTAATTTTTTTTCAACGTTTATTTATTTTTGGGACACAGAGAGACAGAGCATGAACGGGGGAGGGGCAGAGAGAGAGGGAGACACAGAATCGGAAACAGGCTCCAGGCTCTGAGCCATCAGCCCAGAGCCTGACGCGGGGCTCAAACTCACGGACCGCGAGATCGTGACCTGGCTGAAGTCGGACGCTTAACCGACAGCGCCACCCAGGCGCCCCTTGTTGACTTTTAATAATATATGTGTAGGCTTCGATATAGCACCTTTCTATCCGTTATCCTTTAAACTAACAAGGAAGTTAATTCACAGAACATGGAGAAGGAGAATAGAGTTGGCCTGTGACAGCCATGCACGTAGCCGAGTTAGCTCAGTTCTGCCATTTATGTACCATCATGTCTCTACATCTTGCGGAATTCTTTTGAAAACACTTGTGGAAACTTCTCTTCGTGTTTTTTTTCTTCCTCCCCCTCTCCGCCGCCAAAAAAAAAAAATAATAATACATTAACATAAGTAAAAGGTGTTGATCCATTGCTATTTTCTTATTTCGTATTGCGAATTTTACTTTTATTTGTAGAATTATTTTGCTGGCCTGTTTATATTCATAGTTCAGTCAAAGAAAACGTTCACTGTCTGCTTTTCTTTCCAGGCTATTATTATTAGCTGTGTTATAAAAATTACCGGCTCCAGGTGTTAAATTAGGTGCACATCACTTATTTCCCACGAGCACCAACTGGCCCTTCTGTGTCATCCTTATAAAATGGAGACAGCACTTTGCCAGAGTTTCCTTTTCTACCCATTTCTAAATGCAGACCTTTCCTAGGGCGTGGCCTGAGCTCTCTTCTCATCTCTTTTTATCCTCTTTTCCAGTGTAATTTAATCCATTCCCATGGTTTTAAATACAATCATAATGCTACTGACTCTTTTCACTGACATCCCTAATCCAGAATCCTCTGCTGAGTTTAAGACCCACGTCCAACTGTCTAATGGATCGCTAGGTTTTAATGCCTTCCCCAAATCCAGCTTCACTTAATATGTCCAAAGCCAAACTCTTGATTTCCAAATCCTGCCTCACTTTCCCCATCACTGCCTTCATTATCTCAATGAAAGGCACTACCATCTACTTAGCTGTTCAAGCCATTCTTGTTTTTTCCCCGATCTCTGACCAGCATGTCCAAAATCAGTTAAATCCAAGAAATTTAAGCTCTAAAATATGTCTTGAGTAACATCCGCTTTCTCTCCAAACCCACTGCCACTAACTAGGCCAGACCAGCCATCCCTCACCTGGACCAATGCAACTGCTTCCCAACTGGTCTCCTTACTTGCACTTCTGGCCTTCTCCAACTACTCCTTCAAAGAGCAACCAGAGTGACCTTAACATACTTAGAAATTTGAGAAATTCCCACATTAGTCCTTGACCTGTAAGAGTTATCATGGCAGGGAAGGACAAATGGACACCTCTACAACTGCACCTGAGTACATAAAAACAATCAAAAACCAGAAGGCGGGGGGGGGGGGGTATGGTGGGTGTTAGTGTCACCCTTAGGGATCTCAAGGATGCAGGAGGGGTGGTCCCTATCAAGTCTCCATTTAAGTCATGGGCCTGGCCACTGCGAAAGCTGGATGGCTCTGAGGAAATGATTGGCAATACTGCAAGTTCACCCAAGTAGCAGCCCTGATTGCTGCTGCCACACAAGTGTGGTAGCTTTGCTAGAGCAGATTAGAGTGGCCTTAGGTACATACAAGGTGGCCGCTGATCGGGCCAAATGTATTATTTTCTACCTCAGTCGGGAAAAAGGATCAGGAAGTTCACATTTACATGGAATAGATAATAATGTATACTCATATAATCCTCACATTCACAGGGTCATGTTAATTCTAATCGCTGTCAAAATATAGTCTGAATAGATCAGGACCATCTAGATATCCCACAAAACATCACACGGATCCAATACATTCAGACTGGCAGGTGAGTCAAATAGGACCCACCTGTTTTTGTAGGGCTCACAAGCAAAGAATGCATTTTACACTTTTTAATGGTTAAAGAAAAAGATCAGATGAATAGGCAGAGCACAAAGGATTTGTAGGGCAATGAAACTATTCTGTATGACATTATAATGGTAGATACTTGTCACTCCGTCTTTGTCCAAATCCACAGAACACCAAGAGTGAATTATAATGTAAATTATGAACACCGGGTAATGATGATGTGTCAATGCAGGTTCATCATTTGTAACAAAGGTACCACTCTGGTGGGGGATGTTGATAGTGGGACAGGCTGTGCGTGTGTGGAGGCAGAAGGTATATGGGAAATTCCTGTGCTTTCCATTCAATTTTGCTGTGAGCCTAAAACTTCTCTTAAAAAGTGAAGCTTACTAACGTAGAAAAGCAAGATCAAAATACTAAGAATGTTTTGTGACACAAATTTCAGTGTCCATAAATAAAGTTTTGTTGGAACACAGCCACACCACTCTGGGCCCCTTGTGTCCAATGGCCAGCAGACAAGAAGTCACCATGGTAGGGTAGCTGACCCCGAGCAGCAGGACAAGGTATAAGTGCTGTTAGGCAGTGAAGGTGTTCAGGAATTCAGAAGATTATGCAGGTGCCTCTTGGCACCCCCTTATGACAGCCCGCTGTGTCTGTGAACGGACAGGTGCAACAACCCTAGCCTGAGAAGGTCATGATTATCAGTCTCAGACCCTTCAGGAACGAGGGAACGAGGTTGTGTGTCACACAACCAGATAAGCCCCTGGGACCAGCAGAAGTGACAGCTGAGGTCCACTCCAGAAATGCATGTGGAAGGCAGGCAGGTTGGGATGGAAGGAGGAAAGAAAGACCTCTGAGGGCAGGTCACGGACGGCATGTGTCTTCAGTGTATTGTTCACAGTGCATGGCATAGCAGCGTCTCAATAAAAGTGCTGAAGGGACTATTATTTCCGTCTTTGACTTTACAGGTGTATTGAATGTCTTAATATCCCGTACTTTGCTTGAACGCTCTGGAAGAAACTTTTCCTATCTCATCGAGAAACAAGTCCCGCTCACGCGTGGGGCCCGCCGGCCCCTCCCCGCAGGACCTCCCGCCCCAGGAAGGCGCCCGCCTCGTCCCCGCCCTGCGACGCCGTCACCCCGGGCGCTCCGCTGCGGACCCGCCCGGACCCCCGGCTCACCGCCTCCGGGCTTCCAGGCGCGCCGCGATGCGGAGACGCCGGGCCTGGATCCGCTCCTGAGGGTTGTCGGAGTGTATGGACGGCCCGAGAATCGGGGTGGAGGAGTGTTCCTCCTCCTTCTCCAGGGCCCCCAAGGGCCCAGGCGGATTCATGGCAGGTGCCTCCCGCCGCAGGCAGCTGCCTAAGGAACACCGCGAGACCACCGCCCGGTTGCCAGCAACAAGCCGTTGCCAGGGTGCAGTCACCTGACCCGCAGCTGGAGTGCGCGCGCAGGCCTCCTCAGGCTCCGCCTACCGGCATCCAGAACGTGGTGCCAGTTGGTGGTTTTTATCCTGGAGATAATACGCCCGAGGCTCCACCTTGGAGAGGTGAAAATTACATCACTCAGCCCTGTACAAATAGCGCCTAGCATAACACCTAATGTGTAGTAAGTGCTCAACCAGTGTTTGCTGAATGACAGGTACACAGATGTATCTGTATGCTCACTGCAGTTATTATATTAAAAAACTGGCATGACCCCAAAGTCCATCCATCAGTAAGGGAACTGATCCAGCTTTCATTGGGTAGAAGCCAATGCAGCCACCAAGAATGGGGCTGACCTAGAAAGGCATAAAGCTATATTACATGAGGGAGAGATGCAGCCCAGTATATGGAATGTGATCGAAATTTTACTTGAAATATATATAGTACCCACACGAGAAAAATGAACACAAAGCAGGGCCAATATCAAGTTACTGCCTGTGTTCTCTTCTAGGATCTTTATGGTTTCAGTTCTCGCATTTAGGTCTTTAGTCCAGTTTGAATTTATGTTTGTGTGTGGTGCAAGAAAGTGGTCCAGTTACCTTCTTTTGCGTGTTGCTGTCCAGTTTTCCAACATCATTTGTTGAAGAGACTTCTTTTTCCCATTGAGTATTCTTTACTGCTTTGTAGAAGATTAATTGACCGTCTAGTTCTGGGTTCATTTCTGGGTTTTCTATTCTGTTCCATTGATTTTCATGCCAGTACCATAGTGTTTTGATGACTACAGCTCTGTAATAGAACTTGAAGTCCAGAATTGTGATGCCTCCAGCTTTGCTTTTCTTTTTCAAGGTTGCTTTGGCTACTTGGGGCCTTTTGTGGTTCCATACAAATTTTAGGATTGCTTGTTCTCGCTCTGTGAAAAATGCTGTTGGTATTCTGATAGGGACTGCATTAAACGCGTAGATTGCTTTGGGTAGTATAGACATTTTAACAATCTTTGTTCTTCCTATCCAGGAGCATGGAATGTCTTTCTTTGTGTTATAGTTTTCAGAGTATAGGTCTTTCTCCTCTTTGGTTTATGTCTAGGTAACTTACTGGTTTTGGTGCAACTGTAAATGGGATTGATTCCTCAATTTTTCTTTCTGCTGCTTCATTATTGGTATACAGAAACGCAACAGATTTCTATACATTGGTTTTGTATCCTATGTGTTGTATGCAAGTGTTGAATCACTGTATTGTACATCTGAAACTAATATTACACTGTATGTTAACCAGCTGGAATTTAAATAAAAAATTAAAAAAAAACAAAAACGGATACATGCACCCCAATGTTCATAGCAGCATTTTCTACAATAGTCAAATTATGGAAACAGCCCAAGTGTCCATCAACTGATGAATGGAAAAAGAAGATGTGGTATATATACAATGGAGTATTACTCAGCCATAAAAGTAATGAAACCTTGCCACTTGCAACGATAGAGTATTGCAATGGATAGAGTATTATGTTAAGCAAAATAAGTCAGAAAGACAAATATCATATGATTTCTCTCATATGTGGAATTTAAGAAACAAAACAAACAAGCAAAGTGGGGTGGGGGGGCAAATCAAGAAGTAGACTCTTAACTATATAGAGAACAAATAGATGGTTACCAGAGGGACGGTGGGGGGAGGGGGTGGTTAATAGGTGATGGGGATTAAGGAGTGTACTTGTTGTAATGATCACCGGGCATTATATGCAAGTTTTGAATCACTGTATCGTACACTGCATGTTAACTAATTGGAATTCAAATAAAAACATGGGGGGGGGAGGGGGAGAAAGAATTAAAATGTATATTTGCCCAAATATACAGTGCTTTCATAAAGCTTTCGAGGGGCGCCTGGGTGGCGCAGTTGGTTAAGCGTCCGACTTCAGCCAGGTCACGATCTCGCGGTCCGTGAGTTCGAGCCCCGCGTCGGGCTCTGGGCTGATGGCTCAGAGCCTGGAGCCTGTTTCCGATTCTGTGTCTCCCTCTCTCTCTGCCCCTCCCCTGTTCATGCTCTGTCTCTCTCTGTCCCAAAAATAAATAAACGTTGAAAAAAAAAATTAAAAAAAAAAAAAAAGCTTTCGATTTGGCAAGAAAAGAAAAAGAACACCAAGTAGTGGGTATCTCGGGGGGGGGGGGGGCGGGGTCCACAGGTGGTTTTAACTTTCTATTCTAAACAAAAAGTTTACCGAGGCACCTGGGTGGCTTAGTTGGTTGAACCTCCAGCTCTTAGTTTCGGCTCAGGTCATGGTCTCACGGGTTTGGAAGTTTGAGCCCCACACCCCTCTCTGCACTGACAGTGTGGAGCCTGCTCAGGATTCTCTCTCCCCCTCCCTCTCTGCCCCTTCCCTGCTTACTCTGTCTCTCTTGAAATAAACTCAAAAAAATTTTTTTTTAATTAAAAAAAGCTTACAAATAACAAATCACTTTTGACATAATAAAACAGTTGTTGTGTTGTTGTCTTTAAAGGGTCGTAACAGGAGATCCTGAAGAGACTGCAGCAGGCCAATGTCACGGGTGAGAGGGATGTGGTGTGATGTCTGCCGTGATGACTCACAAGCATCCAGAGTCTGGTCCGCCTTGGTAGGCACTACTCCAAAAGCAGAGCTGATTTGAGAATGGACTTACACTAATGAGCTCATGAAAGAAAAAAAGCATACCCTAATTCGAGCAGGACACTGCAATTGACATACAAAGCTTGTTTATTTATGGCTTGAGACCAGCATATGTCTGTGGCCGATCTACAAATGGAATCCAACTATAACTGGCAAGTTTCTTGATGCTGTGCGATTGGCTGTAAGGAACTCAAGGGCCCACAGTGGGTATAACTTGCCACAAAGACTAGGTAGGTCAAGTCCTTTCACCTCCATCCCTGGGTAAGTTTGGGGTAATACATGCAAACCCTTCTGGCTATATGGGCTTCCTTTGCCAGGCTACAGGCTGGCCGTCTACCTTCAACGTACAGTCTTTTTCCAGACTAGATTTTAGTATACCAAGTCCAGTCACATACTTAATTCCACATCCATAAAATTACACCAGATCGCCTTAATTGGGGTTTGGGGATTCATCAGACATTTACATAATTTCTTGGCTTATTCTTGTCTCCCAATTTGTGTGAATTTTACTACGATTCTCAGCAGGCAATCTCACTTTATTCATTTCAAGTTATTTTTGGAACTGCCTCACCATCATCATGTACTCACAACAAAAGGTACAAAGGATGGCACAGAGAAGGAAAGAAGGGAAGTCATGAGTAGGTGATCAGGCTTCGGGAAAAGTTCAGAGGCAAAAAAAAAATAGAGAACTAGATGTTAGTAGAAACTGAGCACCTACCTCAGACCACCCACCCACTGTGCCAAATACCTCCGTGCATCATTCACAGCACATGTGCGTGATCACAGTAATGTTACTAATCCCATTTTACAAGCGAAGAATTGGAGGCTTAGAAAAAATAAGTAACTTGCCCCGGGCCAAAGCTGGCCAAGCTGAACATGACTAAGAAACAGTCATGGCATTAAACGTTTGGGAGGTCTTGAGAAACTTTCAGAATGAAAGCAAAAAGACAGGTGGAAGGAGCAGATACCGAGTTCTCCTTAAGGAAATTTGGGAGCAAGGAAAAAAGATGCAAAGTAGGAAGAAAAGCAAAGACGCTTTGGAGGTGCAGGGTCTAAGCCTGGACGGACCCAAGCTGCTTACCTGGTGCGTGCCTGCTATGTGTTAGGTACCCGCTAGGTTTTCGAGATTTGCGGACAGAAGGGCAGGAGGAACTGCTGGGGCGACTGAGAGGCTGGGTGGCACAGGGGATTAAAAGCACACCGCTGGAGAGGCAGCCCCGGGGCAAAATACAGGGCGTCTTCCCCTCACCTTCTTCAAAGCCTGTTAGAGACAAAAACTTTAAATGCCTGCTGCCAGAGCCGGGAACCACTTCCGATGTAAAAGATAGGAAATATTCTCAGAAGCAATGTTAGAAAATAGGGGTTTTTAAAATATAAGCTTGTGGGGCGCCTGGGTGGCGCAGTCGGTTAAGCGTCCGACTTCAGCCAGGTCACGATCTCGTGGTCCGTGAGTTCGAGCCCCGCGTCAGGCTCTGGGCTGATGGCTCGGAGCCTGGAGCCTGTTTCCGATGCTGTGTCTCCCTCTGTCTCTGCCCCTCCCCTGTTCATGCTCTGTCTCTCTCTGTCCCAAAAATAAACGTTGAAAAAAAAAATTAAAAAAAAAATAAAATATAAGCTTGTGATTTATAAGCTGAACCAAACTTTGGGTGTACTAAGTGTATGTCATTAGATTCTTGTGGAATTAGCCTGGGAAATTAACACCATACATTTTTCTGTGAGAAAATGTGTTTAAGACAACCACCTTCCCAACTAATTGAAGTGTGACCCAGTTATTATTATACACTGCCCAGCACCCAGTTCTGGGGCAGTCAAGAGCAGGACACTACGAACAGCTGTTACTGCCAACCTGCCTGCTACTCGGCTTCCTGAAACAAGTCACAGGGTTGTAGAACACCCAGGAGCAAGCAGGCGGATCGCTCTTTAAACACACAAAACAAAAAACCTTGCACTATGCTGCTCTAAAGTAATCAGTGATTCTGAGACAGCATTCTTCTCCCTCAGAGCACCCTCCCCTCTTGCATCTACCAAGGAAAAATAAAGAAGACAATCTGAAAACAGTTAAAAGGATTTAAAAATTATTTACTCTTTACTTTTATTACAATAAATATTTATCAATAATAGAATGAAACAATTTTAAATTAAAACCTACTGCATTACTTTTGGGGTTCACAGCAGCAGAAATAAACATAAATCCAGTTCAGAAGGCAAGGCTTCCAGAATCCACTGGCAAGAAAACAGTCAGGTCTTGATTATCGGGGCCAGCAATGGGGAACAGTAACACCAACGATGCAAAAGTAACAGTGATAGGATCTATTTGTGGACCAAACTGTCTACGACTTCACAACACTGCAGATAAGGAACTTTT